GCACCAACTGCAGAAGCAGTGACTCTTCACCAGCACTCACCTGCAGACACAAAAGTTAAAGACAGCATCACTTGAAAATGTCCTGGAAAAAGCATTAAAGTTACTGTCATAATTGTGTCATCTTCAGATCCACGTCTGAAGTGACGTCTGACCTGTGAGCACACAGAGCTCTCTGCGGGATCCCCACATGTATCCTGAGGAAAGAGCTGATGTGATGAATCAGACTCTCTGTGTTTAACACCATCCTTACCTGAGGGATGAATGACAAAATGTAAAGCTATTTAGATTTGGTTAATGAGCAGACACTTTCCTCAAATGAATGTCTGTTTCCTTAGGAAAATCAAAAGATAATTGAGAATTGATAGTAAGTTTGCCTTGATAAAACACAAGCTCCCAGAGAAAACCAAAATTATGGAAAATCGATGCCATCACTACTTGACAACTTGTAGTACTTAATTTACTTTTGGGATTTATGATTATAAAATAAAACTTTTTTTTAAAAATTGAATCCAAGGGAAAAACGAAAAACCAAGGAAACTCCGGAAAAAAAAAAATAACCAAAAAAAAAAAAAAAATCACATCAACACAAATTCCATCCAATATGCAAGAGAGGCCTATGGAAATGAACAGAACAGGAGATATTCCATGGTATTATTTTGGGTTTCCCATGACCAATAACCTTTGAGAAACTCCCACCTCTCCAGCTTTATTTTAGTATCAAAGGAGAATAGTCACAGTCATCTGAAAACACTATTGCTTCCTCCCTCCCTCCAGGCTGCTTCTCCAGCCCTAATCCACTCCTCAGAGTGGGGAGGGAATGTGGATCCCCACTTTCTGTGGGGGTCACTGTTACAGCATCATGTCTCTACTCACAGCTCTGTGGGGTGCAACCTGGGTAAGCCCACACTCACTCCATTCTTTCTTCCTGTACCCTGGGTTTCAGGAAACACTCAGCGTCATCCTGCACCATAATAGTCTCCACCGACTCCCCAGACCCCAGGACAGGGTGTGATGCCCCCCACCCTCCTGCTGCTGCTCTGCGGGTCCCTGACTCTGATGGAGACCTGGGCAGGTGAGTGCAAGGCCAGCTGGAAACTGCTCTAGGAGGGGGATCAAGGACCCCACTGTGAGTGCAGGACTCCAGGTAAGGCCCATCTCCTCCCCAACCTCTTGTACCCCCTTAGGCCCTTTGTGCTCTCACCCTGCTGTCGCTCCTGGCCTCACCTGGGTGCTGTGGGCCCCTGAGTCTTCTTGGCCCACTGCCCCTTTGTAATTCAAGGCCCCCCTTCCCCCTTTCTCCCCTCCAGGCCCATCTCCCTGGGACCTGGGCCCAGCACTGTCGGGAGGGTCAGCTCAGCCCGGGTCTCCCTCTCCCGCCCCCAGGCTCCCACTCCTTGAGGTATTTCTCCACTGCGATGTCCCCGCATGGCCCCGGGGAGCCCCGCTTCATCACGGTGGGCTACCTGGATGACACGCAGTTCGGGTGGTTCGACAGCGACTCTCCGGGTCAGAGCGCAGAGCCGCGGGGGCCCTGGGTGGAGCAGGTCAGGCAGGAGGATGTGGAGGAGGAGACCAGGAAGCAGAGGAACGAGGCTCAGTTGTTCAAAGCGCTGCTGCAGGACCTGCAGGGCCTCTACAAGCAGAGCAACAATAGTGAGCTGCCTCATTCACCCTAAGGCGGGCATGGGGGGATTAGGGGTTGTGAGTGTGGTAAGGGTGTGTGTTCCTGTGTTCTGAATCTCAGGGTCCCACTGACCCTAGACGCTGGGGAACCCACCCGGCCCCTCCCCCGGAAGAGCCCACGGGACCCTCCCGCCTGCAGCTTCACACTCTGTTTAGGCTGGTTCACGGGGAGAGGGTGGGTGATCCCGGGTGAGCCCAGGCTGACACAGGGGGGTTCAGGGTCTCACACCCTGCAGAGGATGTGTGGCTGCGAGGTGGGGCCAGACGGGAGCCTCCTCCGTGGGTATGAGCAGTTAGCCTATGACGGCGCCGATTACATCGCCCTGAACCCGGACCTGCGCTCCTGGACCCCCGCGCACCCGGTGGCCCAGATCACCCAGCGCCAGTGGGAGGCGTCGGGGAGGGCAGAGCGCGTCGGGACCATTCTGCAGGGCAGGTGCCCTATGTGGCTCCGCAGACTCATGGAGCTGGGGAAGGAGGTGCTGCAGCGCTCAGGTAAGGGGGGCTCAAGGCCTGGGACTCCCTCACCCTGGGCCCCACAGGGAAATGGGATAATGGCCAGAACAGCACCTGCTTTCTGGTCAGAGGTGAAGGAGCCCCTGGGTGTCATATTCTGTACTAGAGAGACTCGCCCCAAAGACACCTCTTTCCTGGACTTGGAGTCCAATGTCTCCTGATGGGGGGAGGCCATGCCAGAAATCACCCTTCCCTGGAACTTTTGACCTGGCTGCCATCTTGAGAACCATCAATTTTTCTTTCAAGGTCTTGTTATTGGTCTGACTCTGTCTTTCTGTGTCACTCACCCCACCCAGGTCAGGAGCAGA